TTTTAAAAAAAAAAAAAAAAAAAAAAAAAAAAAAAAAAAAAAAAAAAAAAAAAAAAAAAGAATTAGTGGTTTTTTTTTTTTTTTTTTGAAATTCAGCCTTTCAATATGACTTCATGTTTGCTATTCAGACTCCGCTTCTATAAATAGTTCCTTAGAATCGATATCACAGTCCCTGTTATGGATGAGCTTAACTCTTTCAAAAATTGTATTTGTCATTTTTTGTGATTGTAAAACTTTACATGCCAAATATAGAAAATATGTAAAATACAAAAATAGAAAATGATAATTTTATACCCAGACAATTTACTGCTAATATTTAGTTTACTCTCCATAAATTCTTATTATAATTAGGATTTTGATTTTATTCACTTGATATTACTTCTTAAGTTGAAATTCTCCGTACCATCAAGTTTCCTCAAACACCTGTTTTTTAATAACTCCATGAGAGATTTTCATAAGTTGCAGTTTTATTTTTATTTTCTTCCTCTCTACATTTGTGGTAAAATTTGACAGTTCAGCCTCTATCTGCTCTGATCACTTTTGTGTTGAGAATATGTGACTTGGATTTTGTTTTAGAGCCAAGTGATGGTATATGCTGTTTGTGTGTTTGAGGAAAATCAGGATAGGAAGTGATATGACAATGTGAGCTTCGAATTAGACTTACAAATCTATTATTTTTTCAAAATTTTGTTAGTATCTGTTCATATTTACTCTCTCATAGAATTTAGAAGGGAGGTGCTGTGTTTTAATCCCTGCTATATCTGTAGCTTTTTCACAAGAAAATAATGAGTAGATGTTTGTTAAAGAAAGAAGGAAAAAATGAGTTCTGCTATATATTCAAAAGTTTATTTTAGGCTTTACGATTGAATTACATTTATAAATTTATTTGTTAATAATAAACTGAAGGCATATATTTTACCATGCAAGTATTTCTTTCCACTTATCTCTGTCTTTCTTGACAAATGTTTATTGTTTTAATATATTTAAATATACTCCCAGATATTTATTTTTATTGTTACTTTTGTGATTGAATATTTTTGGGTGTTGCACTTGGGAAAATTTATATACAAGTATATATAAATTATACATAGATAAATATATATTCATATATATTTTATATATGTATACTTTTTAGCCACCTTCTTCAACTCTTATTAGTGGATTGCAGAAAGATATTTGGACTAATAGATAATTTATAAGAGAGCTTGCTCCAAATCTCTTGCCTTTGTGTTTTGACTGAATTAAACATTACTACCGCAAGTTTATTTTTAAAAAGTTATTTCTTTTAGTGCTGTAGATAAGTCACTGGAAAGAAATAAGTTGCATAAATAATTAATTCCCCAACTCTTCCACCCCTGGTCAAGGGTAAGCTATTTCCAAGATCTCTCATATTCTTCCTAAGCTTGAATGTAATTGGTGATTGACAAGGTGAAAGTGATCCCTCTTGGCTGAGTTATGATTGTTAATTATTAGTCAATTGGCTTGTTTGTATAGGGAAAGTCATTAAGTTAAATTAGGTTTAAAACATCTGAACAAGGGAAATCTGTATTTGTAGTCCAGTACCTTAACTGGCTTTTATTATTTCCCTCTCTATACCACCAGCTCCAGTCCAGTGGAGGCAAGTTGACTCTTGATTCGTCCATTTCCTTGAAGACTGATCATGGAGTGAAAGCATAGCAGGGCTTAGATTTTATTGGTTTATTTCTTCTTAAATCTGAGTTAGAAGAGAGAGGGTGTAATCACTATTGGCCTAACTGCTTTATCTTACTTAGGTGACAATTTATCCAATGGAAGAAAAAAATTCTCTAGTTAGATTGTGCAGGGTCATACACAGTTAGCTCAGATCCAGACACATTCACACTTTAAAGCTTCACCCTGGTTTGTGTATTTAAACTTCACTCTGATTTCCTATTGCCTCAACGAATTACCACATACATGGTGGCTTAAGACAACAGAAACTTCTTCCCTCATGGTTCTGGAGGCCTGAAGTTGAAATCCGTTTCACTGATTCCAAATCAGTTTCATGGGCTGAAATCAAGGTGTTAACATGGCTACTTCCTCTCCAGAGTCTGTAGAGGAGAAACCGTTCCTCACCTCTTCCAGCTCTGTCGAGCTGCTGGCAGTTCTTAGCTTGTAGGCATCACTCCAAGCTATGACTCCTAAGTCACATTGGCTTCTCTTCTTCTGTTGTCAAATCTCCCTCCATCTCCCTCTTACAAATATACATGTGCTTGCATTTAAGGCCCATGTAATTTGGAATAATCTTCTCACCTGAAAACCTGCACCTTAATCATAGCTGCAAAGTTGTTTTTTGACATATAAGGTAACATTCACAGATTCTAGGGATTAGGGCGTGATTTTTCTGGAAGCCTTTGTTTTACTTATCACAGTTAGCATGGCTGGTGCTTTTCTTTTCCAAATTGAGAAAATAATATATGTATTAGGCAGAGTCCAGTCAGGAAAATAGATATGTTTTTAATGTTTCTAATTTTTAATTTTTTATGTTATTGTATAAAAGTAACTTTTTGGTGTACAGTTCTATCTGTGCATTTTGAATTTTAATACATTGCATAGATTCATGTGACCATCACAATTATAATACAGAACAATTTCATCTCCTCCAAAACTCTCTTGTGCTATTCTTTTGTAATCACACCCTCTCCATTCCTAATTCCTTGCAAACTTTGATCCGTTGTTTTACATTTTTATCTTTTTCAGAATGTCATATGAATGGACCATGCTCTCTCTCTCTCTCTCTCTCTCTCTCCTTAATAAGGATATATATATATATATCCTTATTAAGTCTGAATCCTGGTTAGAGGAAGCACCTGCCATTGGGCACATGCAAAATCACCATCTCTGCCACCAACTTCAGTTTTTCTATACCCAGATGTTTTAAACTTCTAAGTCATTTCATAGGAACAGCTTATCATTTCAAGTGTTTGAATTTCTTTGGAGATTTGATTTATAGTACTACAAAAGAAATACTGTGGCAATTGACAACAAAGAGGTTCAGTTTAGGGTTAGACCAACTCCTATTATCAGGTTGAGTCACGTTCTGTATGAAAGTTTAGTTGTACCAATTCTATCTTAAATTTTTATAGATATTTTTCTAACATTTTAAAGCTAATTTTACTGATCAAAATTCACCTTTGTGAATTTTGTGAGATCTGTGCACTAATTGGGCTACGGTTATTATTTGGGTTTTTTAAGGGGTTGGCATTGGATGACACATCCAACAATTATTTAAGTTTGTTGGACTGGCAACGGCTTTATAGAGCTGAATTATAGCATTATGGTGGTCATTTTCTCAAGTAAAGCCTATACTAAGCAAGTTATTGCATTAGTAAGAGAACACATTAGGGTGAAGTAGAAACATAATATTCTACTACTAAAATGAAAAAATACCACTAGAAGAATGAAAACAAAAGAATGCAAAGGAGAATGTGACAATCGGTTGTTCCAATTATCAAGAATATTATGTTCTAATAGTCTTGGAAGGGTTGTCTACTTTATGCAATTATGTTTGTTTCAAGGATTTGGGGTCAGCACTCATCTTCCACGGACTGTCTGCCTCTGAAGATTCTCCAGAGAATCTCAAGTTAAGATCTTTAATATGAGTAACCTTATAATTCTTGTCATTTAAGGATGGATGATGTCATACTAGTTGGTAAACATGTAACCAAGGATAAATTCCTTGTACATTATCTACTGAACTGGTAGTAA